AAGCAGAAATAACAAACAGACAGAGGGGGGGGGGGGGAGTGCCATATAGGAAACTAAACCACATTTTCTTGGCCGTACTGCCCCCTGCAGGCTGTTTCATGTGGCTGCAGGGGTGTGTGGGGGGGTGCATTCTCTGCTCAAATGGGGAACTGTTGTCATCGCTCTCTGACACACACACACACACATTTGTATTTAAAAAAACACTTTAGAGCAGGGAAAGATACATGGGGATTTTTCAGTTTGCCAAAAAAGCAACCAAAGGAAATATTTCTAAGCAAAAAAAATTGATGCCTTAAGCATTTTTATATACAGTACCTTAAAAATATGCACATATGACATGCCTTAAGTCAAATAAATGTCCTAAGAAATTACATGGGTTTGCCCCCCCAGCCCCTTAAGGCTCATCAAATGAGCTGAACCTAGTGTTCATTATTTGGAGACTTAAAAAAAAAAACCTTCTCCCCCCTATTCTCAATTTCATGCCGGGATCTCAGGGGGGCGGAATATCTTTGGTAATGGCCTTGGTCTAAAGTCAGGGCCCGGAGGAATAATTCCCTCAATGGCCTTGAGTCTGTGGTGTCCTTCCCTGGTCACCAAGAAGATGCACTGAAAAGCCTTTTTTTCACCGCATCAGGGCCGTGACACACAGGTCACCGTCCCATGGAATTAAATTTCTGGCCTGTTTTTTTGCAGAACCACTCGGGGGTAATAGATTAGAGCAGTGTTTTTTAATCTCTCTTTTTTTAACTATAATTTTATTAAATTAAAACAAAAGATAAAAACTAATACAAACTAATATAAAGTGGGGAAAAGAAAAGAGAAAGCTAAAAGTGCAAAAAAGTAAAAAAAAAGAAAAGAAAAAGTAAAAATAGAAAAGATACCAAGAAGTAGCTTCCAATCTTCTTTACAGCAGGTGTAAGTACAATTATAAATTTACCTCTTACTCTATGGTTGCAACATAACTCTCTTTTTTCTATAATCTATTCTGTCTAATGATTAGCAGTGTTTCTCAACCTGGGCAACCTGAAGATGTGTGGACTTCAATTCCCAGAATCCCCCAGTCCAGAGAAACACTGGACTAGAGGGTTGTTCCCCTGGATACTGCATCCTACCTGGATGACCTTTATGAATCTCTGTTGAACTGGCTTCTGGAATGCTCTCGTTGGCTGCAGAAATCTTCCCCCTCAACCTCCATAAAAGTTGGTTCAACAGAAATCTCAACGTATCCCTCCTCACTTCTCAAGGAGATTCCTGGCTGCTTATTAGTGCTGGAAGAAGTCAGACATCAGTGATGCTCAGAACATCTTCAGCCCCCCCTCCCTTTTAAAGGCAGGCTGGCATCACATGGATTAATTTTTCAAGACCCCGTGCAGCTCTTTGCAAGTGCATCCAGATGGAGAGGTTGACTGACTTTCTCTCCCTCTGGAGAAAATAAACACACAGCATGCGTGATCGTCTTATCTAGGATCAGAAGTGTCCTGCCCCCTTGTGGCCACAGAGATACTGGCAGCTTCATTTAACAGCTGCTCTCCAGATGTGCAGGACTGCCATGCCCAGAATGTTTCCAGGCAGCAAGACTTGTGGGACGCATCGTTTCTGGATGTAACAAAGAGAGGGTATATTGAGACGGTCCCTTTGATGGTACCCTGAAATGGTCATCAAGAGCATCCAAGGAACCACACCTGGAATAGCTGCTGTCCCTCAGCTCCCTTCCTTCTCCCAATAACCCTCAAGGATCCTTTAATGTCATCCTGCTCCCTGAGGATCACTCTTTCTCCGTGGCAGTTCAGCCTCAGGATCCTTAGCAGGTGGATCTCAAAACTGCTGCTTCTCCAAGATCAATGTACTCATTAAAACTCCAGTGATCCCAGCTAACGAATATACTGAAGAAGAGGGTGTATAAAGGGAATATCCTTGGATTTTTTTTCCTCCTCAGCATATCAATCTAACGTCTGCTGTAAGGGAAGGGGGAAAAGATTGAAACACAGTGAGTAATCCGTTTTGATTCTATTTAATGTAATTTCAGTTGGGGGCTTAAATGAAAATGTGATGAAATGGGAGCTACTTTTCTCTTGGTTGCCCGCTTTTGGTGAACATGCTCCCCTAAAACACTACTCAAGAATAGCCACCGCCTTTGGTTCAGGAAGAAGATGCACACTCCTGCACCTGGAAGCTGTCTAACACGCAGAAGGTCCCAGATCTCATCCAGTGCATTTCCTTATGTGTTAAAAGACTGATAGGGCCGCCCATCTTGTGGCAGCTAAGAATGATAAAGATACAAGCAATAAAAACAATGGATGGATGGAAGGAAGGAAGGAAGGAAGGAAGGAAGGAAGGAAGGAAGGAAGGAAGGAAACTAGTGCAGTCAGATGTGGCCAAGTTGGCATACTCTGGATCCGGTCAGTGGAGCATCTTGTGGGCCTTCTCTGGGGCTGCTCCTGCCCATTGGAACACCCCCCCCCCAAGTCTGAATGGCGCCAACTTGGGGATTTAGAGCTGACCTTGGAGAGAGGGAAGGAATACACAAGCTGTTAAAGGTGACACAGTCCTGGGAAACAGAGGCATGAGGAAGAAACTCAGAATAACCCCACCTTAATTTTGTTTACCGTAAGACGGGACAGAGATAAATTTGGCCAAGCTTTAATTTTCTGTTTTCTCCCTTACTAGAATAAAGATTATTCCTGGAATCGCTGCCTAACCCTTGGAGCCTTGTGGTTTGGGATCCTGTTTTATCTAGTCTGCAGCTGGTTGTGCTGTTTCCCCAAGATGCATGTCAGAAACTTTACTGCTGTTTGTGATGATTTGCTCTGCATTCTTCTTTGTGGTTTTAGCTGCCTAGATTTGCTGTGGCTGTTGACAGAGCTGGTCCAGCAAACAAAGACATGCTCTGCGACATCAGAGTGGGGCCGAAAGATCCAGCCAAAGCACTTTCAATAATCAGCCCACAGTCAAAGACAGTAATTAAAGTTTATTTTATCAACTCTATTAATAAATTACACCATCCAAGTCAGTTGAATTTGGCTCCCCCCCTTCCCACTTTTGCAGTTGTAAACCTATAGAGTAACACAGCGGCCTATACTGGAAACCAGAAGAATTAATATGGTTATGATAAAATCATATCCTTATATGCATACCACCCCCTATATACAACAAACAGTATACACAAAGAAAAGGGTTTTTTGTTGTTGCTGTAAACCATGCACACCACAGCATAAGGACAAAATTGCATCTCTTTAGAAAGAACTGTTCAAGGGCACAGGACTGTGTTGGCCGCGGAGTACTTCTCCCTGTTAAACCCAATGCTAGATGCTAGAATGGCATTTTATTTAGTTCCATTTAAAAACACTATGCAACACTTCTTTTTTTGCATATTACTAGGACATGCCCCACCCACCTTCTCTTGAACTATTAAAGGTTTAGGGCTCTAAAGCAGTGTTTCTCGACCTTAGCAACTTTAAGATATGTGGACTTCAACCCCCAGAGTTCCCCTGCTGGCTGGGGAATTCTGGGAGTTGAAGCCCACATATCTTAAAAGTTGCCAAGGTTGAGGAGCACTGCTCCAAAGGAATGCCTACTGCAAGAAACTTTAGATAACTTAGTCTAAAATTCTATATTGGTTTCTTCCTAACTTTGTGACCTCCAGATGTGTCAAATGGGACAGAATTCTGAGAACTTCAGTCCCAGCACATCTGGAGGGACGAACTGATACAGGCCATCCTATGCCCACCTCTGAGCAGGCATCTATGAATTGGCCTGCCAAACAGAGAGACTCAAAATTATGTCTTTTGCATAAAGGTTTATTAATGTAGTGTCCCAGATTTTAAAAGACTAATTGTTCAAGGAAAAAAAAAAAAGCCTGGTTAACACTGAATATGCCTGAAACAAGGAAACCATCTCCAAGTGTCTCCACTCCCCAGAGTTCAGAAGGAAAGTTACATATTGTTAACTCCTACAGCAACGAAGTACATACAACTGAAATGAACCCCTGTCCTCATTAAGATAGAAAAGCTTCAAAGCACATACTATTTTTCACTGCAATCTTCACAAGAGTTTTGCATAGAGATTCACACTGTCCAAGTGCGTCAAATCACCTGGCCCTCCAATTTCTGGGTTATTTTCTAGCATCAGGGAGAGAGAGAGAGACAGAAAGTGCCAGACTGGAGCTTCCCTTGGTGGGACTAAGGAACAGAAGTCCTCAGCGGATGCCAGGCCCGTTTCAAAAAATCTGGAGTACTGCAGCTTCCGTCCCTATTCTAGATACCCATATGTCACGGAGAGCTAACGCTGTAGGCTTGGGATTCTTGCCTTGGGAATCTTGTGCTGGTCTCCATCAGTGCCACGTTGCAAATACCAGACATGGACATTACACACAGGACAGGAAGGGCTGTTTCTCAGAAAGGGGCCAAGGATAAAAGGAAAGAAAGCCAGCTACCAGCTGCAATCGTTTGCTGGCCCTGGGGTGCCTAATCCGATTCTAAAATCTGATGCCTGGAATTACACAACTGCAGCAGCAGGAAGGGAGCTCAGACAGCCCACAGCATAAGGCAAGCTTTCCAAACCTGCGCCTTCCAGTGTTGAAGACTACAACTCCCACCATCTTCAGCCAGAACACAAGGAAGGTTAGCATCCTTTTCTCACCGACATATATTGGCCTACTGTCTGGGACGGTAAAATAATCAAGAATGGAGAGGATTGGCGAGCTATAGAAAGCTCAAGACAAATGAGTTTATAATTCAAGATGACCACTCATTTTAGACAACTGGAAATGACCCTTTATGGAGCTGGACATTTAAGAATATTTACGATATTTAAGAATAGCCTTGACTAAATGTCCAGAGCACAATGGCTCTGCTGACACCTTCCTTGGTTTATCAGCCTAACTTAGTTTGTTTTTCAAGACTTCTATCTTCCTTCCTTTCCAACAAGATAACTATCGCCATACCAGCATAACCAGAAAAACTTAATTCCTTTACTCAAAAATTGCTGGGTGCCATCTGACACAACACGCAGGTGTCTGTCTCTCCCTTGTTGTCAGATGTATGGGGACATGCAATTTCTTACACCCCACATTCGATGGGTATTGGGTTGACAAATGCAGGGTTGCGTCGGTGTATCCTCAAGGCACAGCCAGCAAATGGTTCTCACAGCAGCAAGGAGACCCGATCCATCCCCTCCTGGGATTTTGCAACCTAGATCAGAACAAGCACCCTCAATGGGAGCTACAAGAGTAGAGGATATATTCTCAAGACCAGGGTTCTCTTTGCGAGTGGGATCCTGAGGGAAGCAGCCCCTTTCAATTGGCATTCTCCTTGCATGCCAGGTACGCAACTGCAAAGGTATGCCTTGTTGAACTGGTCCCAAGTTCAAGAAATACGTCACTTTTCAAATCTGATGATCTCTGGAAGCCATCCCCAAAAATGCTCAAATGTCATGCTGTGTCATAAAAAGTGTTCTGAAAGCAAAACAAATTAACATTGTCCCCTCCGATGAATAGTGCTTCTACTGGGAAACAGTATCTGCCATAACAATTCACAAACGGGAGAACTTTTCCAGGATAAAAGCTATGGCACCCTTCTAAAAGCATACACAAATCGCAAGAATTATTATTAAAATGGACAGAGGGCGTGGAAAACCATCTCTCTTTCCAAAATGTTAAAATATACCCCTATACTTTCAAAATACATTAAAATGCAGCCTCCTCAAAGAAGCCTACAGTTGCGTTTTCTGGTGCCAATGTTCAGCAAATCATTGGGGCTTTCTCTCTCTTCTGCTAGTCTGAAATAAAACAAGCTTGAGATCCATCAACAGCAGTAGTCAGATAAAAAAAAAAGATTAAATATTTATAGACAAAATCTTCCTATCTTCGCTAAAAGCCAACTTACACAAGACACCCATCAACAGCTTCCTCTCCAAACCTTTCCTGTACTCTTCAACTCAGCTGGTCTTTGGAAGAGACCGTTTGCAGCCTTTCAAAAATATGTTGATGAGGCCAAACTCTTAAAAAGGGTCTGAAACATTCTTTTTGGGACGTTCATCTGGTCATGTAGAAGCCACCTGAAAATCACTTGGGGAGGGTGACAATTATGTCTTGAATTTCCACAGTTGGGGAAATGAGGGTGTTGAATCAATCCCCAATGTTATAACAGACCTTAGAAGCAGAAATAGACTTGATGCAACATGACATGACAGTGAGTGGAAACGCTGACCCAGACAGGTAGTCCTCACCAGGACCCACTTTGGCCGCAATTGGCCACTCTCTGAATGGCCAGAGGCAGCCCCTTCTGGAACCGCCCGGGTGGGCTGGATGTCAGGGGTGGGGCTTAAGGGAAGTCCCCACCCCCTCCACGGCAGGAAGAAATAGGGAGCCTGTAGGCTGCGCCCAAGAGGCACAGGTCTTATCTACAACAGCCCTCTTTGAAATGTCTAGTATTAAATGGAGCTGTTTGCCTCCCTCATTAAAGGTACAAGGCTCAAATGAATAACTGGATGACAGACTCACAGCCACAGAGAGCTACGCAGGTCCCAATCTAATACTAGACATTCAGCCTGCCCACTGCCCATGCTGTTTCTGATATCTGAGACCTGGATGGAATATAAAAAAATACCAGAGCCTCAGGCCACTTTACAAAAATGCAGGGATGGCTCCCCTGTGTCGCCCCCACCTCAGAAAATACACCTTCTCCTTGTGGCACAGCCTTCACCGTTTCAGCTTTGATTCTGCTGAGTGATCGTTTGCGACGAGAAGGATGGCTGGCCGTGCAGCCCAAGAGGCCAACCTTTCTTCCTTTCTTGACAGGGACAGATCTGAGACAACACGGAGATTAAAAGGTTAACCCACCTACAGCACAACACTGAATGCAAAAGGCCGCCCGCACTCAACCCCTCTCCCCGCATCTCTTGGAGAAGCAGCATCTTCTTGTCCGGCTCTGCCTTTCCACTCGGGACACCGAGAGCCCTTATTACCGCCACTGCTCCACGTTCCCAATGTAATCTGTGGTTGCGTTTCGGCCGTCCTGCTCTCTGCTGCGGCCCTGCTTGGCCCGCCAGATTTTCCGCTGCTCCTGCCGTTTCCGGCGGGCCTCTTGGTGCTCCTTCTGTCTTGTGAACTGGTACCGCTGCAGGAAAAGGTCTTTTGCATAATCATACAGGTTCATGTCTAAAAAATTGAGGGCCTCGATTCGCTGCTGGGTGGCCTCATCAATGTCAACGCTGGAGGCCCTTGTGCTGTTGTACTGGGTGAATGGTGAGATGAAGTTCATGTTGAAGGTCTTCTCAAAGAGATACTGGGTCTTCCGCTGGAATTCCGTCAAGCCGAAAAAGGCCATCCGCTTGAGGTTTTCCTTGGCGCTGTCCAGGAGGACTTTGTTCCGTTGCTCTTCTGGCATGACGGACAAGTTGTAGCATCCCACCAAACTCAGGTCTGCCAGCATGCGGACTTGACGGTTGTTGGCCAAGTTGTATGGACAGTCCATGAACTCTTGCAGAGAGCAGCCTGACCAGTCATCCCCCGAGTAGCAACTAGGCAGTTCCTCGGAAGTGGGTGACCTTCCGTCGCAGACGTGCAACGAGGCCTTCCAGGTGGCTCCTCTTTGGACATGCCTCCATTCGCTCAAATACCGGGAAACCGGGTCCCTCAAAATGGTAATGTAGTAGAAATTCCTGCAGGAGGAAAAGAACAACAGAGCACCTTTAAGGAAAGAAGGACTCCAGTGTATGTTCATTTATTAGCAACCGCAGTTAGGAAGATTTGAGTCCAATCACTGCCCAATTCAGATACATTTTATTTATTTATTAAATTTATGTACTGCCTCAATCTCAAGAGTTGATGTGTTGTGCAACAGCAAGTAGACAAACTAAAGTTCCTTTGCATTCTTTCAAGTTGCTGATGGGAAAAAAAAAGATCTTCCCAACAGGAAGCCCAAAGAGGCTCATGAACAAACTACAATAGTCATTGGACATAACCTGCCACAATCCCCATGACCATGCTTGGCCAAGGTTGATAGAAGTTGTACTCCAACCCATCCCGAGTGCCAGGTTTGCATCAAATCTGCATCATCCCCTCAGACAGGTGTCTGAGACATATGACTCAAGAGAAACAACAGAAAGACCCAAAAGAAGCTGCATAAAGACCCATCACAATGTGTGGCTATTTCAGCTAAATGTCTGTCTGTCTGTCTGTCTATTTGAGGCTGAGCTACTGAATGGGCAGCAAACGAGGGAGAGATGCTTAAAGGAACTGCTACAGAAGAGTTCAGACAAGTATCAGACCAACCAAGGCCCAAAGAACTTCACCCCTCCCCAAAAATACAACTGCAAAACTCTGCAAAAATTAAAATTCTTTTTTAATCCCCCCATCGCTCCCTTTGCTAGTGCACACCGCCAGGTGTCGCTGCTCCATGGAAAAAAAACAACACAGTCCAACAGTCTTTAACAGAAGGAAACAGTAAACTCCACGAAGCTTCTGCTAAAATGTGGAGCCAATAGCCCAAGCAGGCTGATAAGACACCCCTAAAAGAGAAGAGAAACTGAAACGCACAAAGCCTAGCACGGAGGGTTGGAGAGTGCCCAAAGCAGATTACAGAGATTTATGAGATCCCTGATGGAAGCAGCTGCGAGTCAAATCCCACGCAAATCAAGTTGCTTTCTTTTGTTTTTCCCTATATGGACTGAAAATCTGCAGGGAGGAGCAAGATTTCACTTTCCTTTTAACTGAAGAGATTTTAGAGTACATTTTTGAGTGGTAGAAATAAAGCAGCACTCAAGCAGAACAAAAAGGGGATAACAAGATTGTACTGGCTGATCGACTCTTTCACACAATCTGTAAAATGAGAGGTAGAGAGCCAAACCAAGTACCCAACAGGCACCCTCTCAGCGCAGCAGTCCAGCAAACTCAACAACGCCATCCTATGCACAATCACACCAATTACACAACGTGTATGCCCATAGGGTGCAGTCAAAAAAGTCAAGATGGCAGCTGCAATGGTACAATCAAAACGCCACCTGTTTTTTATGTGATGCCCATAAACAGGCTGAGTTTGATCATGCCATCATGGCCACCTTGACTTTTGGATCTCACTCTGCAGACACCCCTGTGTCACTCTGCATGTCAGGGTGGAACAATCCATCTGTGGAGGTTGTGGGTTGGGTTCTCCACCTCTGGAGATTTTTAAGAAGAGGCTGGACAGCCACCTCTGGAGTACGTTTGAATCAGTTGCCTTGCAAAGGGTTGGACGAGATGATCCTTGTGTCCAACTCTACAATGGTAGGATGCCATATATGTTGAAGGTCCCGCTTTGGATCCTGGGACTCTCCGTCTGCAGCGGAAGGTAGCTCTGGCCTTAGAAGAAAGTGGGGGAGGCAAATGGCAGATGGAGTGAAAAAGAGGCTCGTAACTGTCCTGCCTTGACCTTTTTGACCTTACAAAAGGGGGCAGTGAAGGTTTCAGAGAGGCTTTCAAGATCACATTCCTAGAATTCCTAAAGTCACGTTCCTAGAATCCCTGCAGGGTCTATGTCTTGACCTGGCTGACACCATTGCGATGTTGGTAGTGCAGATGGAAAAATGTTGGTGAAGAACCTGGAGAACTTCTATCATTTAATAGGTAGAAGGAAGCTTCCTATGACTTTTGGAGCAGCAGGGCCCTCTTGGAAGTGACCCCCAAGCAGTGGAACCTTGAATGTCACCTGGGTGTGCTTGATGATGAATACAGCCTTCAGTGCAAGCGGTGGAAGATTTTCTTGAGGAGGGAACCTACCACTTCATAAATAAAGATGCGACACGCTCAGTGAGCTGTTCGACAGCCAGAGTTCCCCAAGTCCCCACTCTGCTACCCCAAGTCCTTTATCTAGATACCCAGGAATACAGCTGCAAGGAAAGATGAGACAGATTTCCTCTCTTCCTTGAGACGCAGCGAAGCCACATCTGCAGAGCCCAGAAACTTTTCCAGCAAAACAGTGGCGCTCCTTCAGGGGATGGCACCGCGGGCGGGCTGAGGCCAGCGAGAACAGAAGCCGCAGACGGCTTTTCCAACCCGGAGGTTGGTGCAAGGAAACGCGAAACGCAGAGCAGAGATTTGGTGTTCCTGACGCCTGCAGATGGAAGGATAGTGGCGCTTTGGGGAATCGGCTGATACGGAGAAGCGAGAGAGGCCGGGGAATAATCTGCAGCAAAGGCAAGCGAGATGGCTGATTGCTTAGAAGAAAATGCCAAGCTGCCAAGTTTTTCCCAGGCGTCTGCTTTTTTTATTAGCAATTTTAGAATCGTTCAAGGGCATTTCATGGTAAGAAAGAGAAAGGGAGCTGTGAATGCTGTTCATTTATTCCAGTTTTGCCCAACCCGCCAGGTCAGCAGGACCACAATTCCCACCCTTCTCAGCCAGCATGGGCAACCATTGTGGTGGATAATGGGCCATTGTAGTCCTAATCATCCAGAGACGGTTTAGGCTGATTGAACCTTCCTTATCAGCTGGGAAAGGGCAAGCTGAGTCCTTAAAACTCCTCTCCTTTGATGCTGCATGTATGTGGGAACTGGCTGCTAAAGGAATTTTTTTTGTCCTGGTTGACAAAAAGAATAAACCCAAGCAAGACACAGCAGTGACTTCTGCTTGTTTGAAAGAGGAGCTGTACATTTTTTCAGCCATGTTGGTTGTTCAGGCAATGTGGGCTCCAAGGAACCTTTCCACGCCCCACCTGAACGGATGATCCCTTTAATTAAAAGCAATACATGGGGAGCTGGTGCTCTGCAAAGCATCCAACATCATCTTTATTTCCAAGAATGGCTCTGGACCCCCAGGAGTTTCTAGGAACTCAAGGCAATGGGTGGCTGTCACTCAGCTCTTCGGAGGTGCCCATTTGCCCAGAAGAAAAACCAGGAATGATGGACATCATGTTGATAAGCCCAGCAAGAAGCAACCTCTCCATTTGTCTTCTGCTAATTTAACGCAAATAAGTGATTCTGTAACTGGCCCCATCCAACTGGGCAATTATTTTGGGCAGCAGATCACAGCAGGCTCCTGAAATTCCAAATACAGGCACCCGCCTAAAGTTGCTTGAGGAGAACAAATCTCATCCCTCTTCAACAGAGCTCGCCTATCCTGGGGGCAGGAAAGAGAACTGACCAGGTGGTTCACCACATAAAAGATCCCAGGGGGCTGCTTGCTAAAATTGTGGGCTCTCTCAGTAACAGGGATTTTAATTCTCTTAATTTTGTTATGTTTTTATGTTTTGCATTTTTAAAAATTGCTGCAAGCCATTTTGAATATAGAAATAAACAGAAAGGCAAGATGTAAATTCAAGAATAAAAAATGCACACACATACACCAACCCTTATGCCACGTATTTCTGTGAAGATATAGACCCACTCCAAAGAAGTCACAGAAGCAAAAGCGTTGGTTTTGGAAGATGTCAGCTTATGCTGCATTTCGAAAACTACCAGAATACAGATTTCTAAGATGACATAGCAAGAGATCATTCTCAAAACAAGAGAGATGAGATGAGGTGATGACACTCAAATGGAGAAGTCACAAGAGCTATGAGAAAACTACCAAGGTTGGACTGATCAACCCTCGTTAGAAGTTATAGCACACGCTTAGGAACTGTAGTGCTTCGGAACCATCATACAGAATGGGGGTATCATGAAAGGTGGGCATCTTCAGGGAGTCAAACCTAGGCTAACCAGCGGAACATGGAGCTGGGTCGATACGCGTGGTCGTGTAAGTGATTCAGTGAATGGAGCTTTTGGTTCAGAACACGAACAATGCAAATTGTAAATCAGCATTTGTTTCCGTGTATTCCGAATTGATGGATAAAAGAAGTGGTTCACCCAAAGGTTCCCTTCATGATCTCCAGTGTGGCGAAACAGAAGGTACCTCTTTCAGAAAGCCCTCTTGTCAAAGGCTGTTTTGGGCCACCCCTCAAGCACAGCACTGTGGGCTTACTGCACCCGGTGGAGACAGCGTTGCTAAAGCAACTTGCATGCAAACCCGTGGCTATTTCAAGGCCACGGTGATGGAATCAAGACGACGAAGGGATCTGCATCCTGTATTTCCTCCATCACTACATGAGTGATATGGGAGACTTGTCAAGTTCCTGTTTGAAGTCATGCCCCATTCAGGAGAGAAAAAGAAACCACTTTTCTCCCCAGTGTCAAATAGAGGCCTTTTATCACATATAAACACCTCTGGGTCTTTGAGCAGATCCTCCTGTTAACATCCAATAAATTAAAATACCTCTTAGAATTTCAACTCTGCTACCTGGGTCCAGTTTAAACATCAGTGGGCAACTGCCGCAAATGAACTGGCCATGAAACCAACGGCTTAGGTCGTTCCACAGTTTAAGATGGTGATCCCAAATTATTTTGAGAGACATTAGGAATTTCTCGTACCCAACACGCTTCACCCTTCCCTACAACAGTGAGAAAGTTTTGAAGACATCCTTTGGTATGCAGAAATGGACACTCTTGGAAACGTTAATTAAACGTTTGCAGAATATATCCTCTCCCTCTCCTCTCTTCTTAGAAGTTTTTCAAATATTTGATTAAGGGAAGGAATAAAAAAAAAAAGCACAGCTTAGCATGCTTTAAATGGGATATGCAAGCAAATTCAAAGCAGGAGATCGTTTTTATTGAAATGCTTGTTGCTATTTTAAGATCCTACAATGCAG